AATAGTGGTGATCACGATTTGCTAGTGCCTTTCTTGTCAACACAAGCGTGGATCAGATCTCTCAATTATGCAATTATTGATAACTGGAGACCATGGATGGTACATAATCAAATTGCTGGATACACTCGAACGTATGCCAATAAAATGACATTTGCCACTGTCAAAGTAAGTCTCTTTTTCTTTAAAACATTGAAGTTAGAGAACTCTTTTCACTTTTATACATTGCACTAAGAAAAGGTTACTACTTTTTGTTCAAAATATTTGATTTTGATTTACAGGGAGGTGGACATACACCACAATATAAACCAGAAGAAAGCTTTATCATGTTTCAGAGGTGGATAAGTGGCCAATCTTTATAGAAGAAACTAGGGATATTGTCAAAATGAATCTTTAGATTTTAATGCATTGATGGGATAAATGAGTTTTCACTCGATTAATGAGCATCAGTATTTTTTTTTCCAAACAAAATCAAACCAAAACCGCTTGATCCTGATTCGGTTTGGTTTAATACTCTTTGGTTGAGTTGATAATCAAACAAAAAAAAAACCGGTGGAATTCTAAACCGGTTAGGAAGTTTGGGGTTTTAGCCATTTCTCTCTCTCTCTCCTCGAGCTCTTTCCGATTACAGAGATTGGGAACGAAAACTCAGAAGCATGAGGAGATCGATTTCTTCGAAAGCGAAATCGTTTCTTCATCGGAATCTTCTGGATAAAGGTAACTCCGGTACTTCTCCGTCGTATAGCATTTGCGATTTCTGTTTCTCGAGAAGAGCTTATTCCGGTGGTGGTGGTGGCAGTGTTTACCGAAAGATATTGAGAAATGGGCTTCGCTATATGAAACTAGATGATTCGCTTGAACTCTTCTTTCACATGGTTCAATGTCGTCCTCTTCCTTCAATTGCTGATTTCAGTAGATTATTGAGTGCTATTTCGAAGATGAAGAACTATGATGTTGTGATTTATCTCTGGGAACAGATGCAATCGTTGGGGATTCCTCATAATCTATGTACCTACAATATTTTGTTGAATTGTTTCTGTAGATGCTCGAGATTCTCTCTTGCGTTGTCGTTTCTTGGGAAAATGATGAAACTTGGTCATGAGCCTAGCATTGTCACCTTTGGCTCGCTGCTCAATGGATTCTGTCGTGGGGATAGGATTTGTGATGCTTTGTCTATGTTCCGTCGGATGGTGGAAATGGGATATAAACCTAATGTTGTAATCTACAATACTCTCATCGATGGTCTTTGTAAAAACAAACAGGTGGATAACGCGTTGGATCTATTCAACCGAATGGAAAAAGATGGGATTAGACCAGATGTTGTTACTTACAACTCTCTCGTATGCGGCCTTTGTAACTCCGGTAGATGGAGCGATGCTACTCGAATGGTAAGCTATATGAGCAAGAGGGAAATCTACCCTGATGTATATACGTTCAATGCGTTGATTGATGCTTGTGTGAAAGAAGGAAATCTTTTAGAGGCTGAAGAATTGTACGAGGAGATGATCCGGAGATCTTTGGTTCCTGATATTGTCACTTATAGTTTACTGATTAACGGGCTTTGCATGAACAGTCGCCTAGATGAAGCAGAGCAAATGTTCGGTTTTATGGTTAGCAAGGGTTGCTTCCCGGATGTAGTAACTTATAGTATTCTCATTAACGGATTTTGCAAGTCAAAGAAAGTAGAGCATGGGATGAAACTCTTCTGCGAGATGTCTCAAAGGGGAGTGGTTAGAAATACAGTCACTTACACTATTCTTATTCAGGGTTATTGTCGCGCGGGAAAGCTTAATGTTGCCGAAGAGATTTTCAAACAGATGGTTTTTTGTGGTGTGCCTCCTAATATTATCACTTACAATATTTTTTTACATGGTCTATGTGGTAACGGGAAGATAGAGAAGGCATTGGTAATATTGGAAGATATGAAAAAGAGTGGAGTGGATGCTGATATCGTTACATATAATATCATCATGGGCGGGATGTGTAAGGCTGGTGAGGTCGAAGATGCTTGGGATTTATATTGTAGCCTCGACCACAAAGGACTTGTGCCTGATGTTTGGACATACACTATAATGATGTTAGGATTGTACAAGAAAGGCCTACGGCGTGAAGCGGATGCACTGTTTAGAAAAATGAAAGAAGATGGGATTTTGCCAAATGACAGTTACGAATAGTGAGGCCAAATAGAACAAACTGCATCAGCTTAAGTATCTCAGGGGATCTTGCAAGATATTTATATCCGGGTCAGGCTCCTACCTTCTTCCTATGAGATACTTGCCCCTGCAAAGATCAACTCAGATCTTCCAAAGCCGAGTTTCAGATAGTATGAAAATGAGCGGATTTTCACATGTTCATTATCATATTTTTAAGGAGAAACCATAGAGATCATGACTATTAGCGCGACAGCTGCATAGTATCACAGTTACTGACAGATTACAGAATCGAAGCTTGCATCGTATCTGTATCTGGTTGCTCTTCTAGAGGATGTTTGCCCTTCAAATGAAAAACTCAGGTCATTCAACACCAAGTTGGAATCTATGAGAAGAGCTGAATCATATAAAGTCATGGTCTCAAGTCACTGGTTTTTCTCAGTTTAAAATTGTACATTCTTTCTTATACCGCATACCAATGTTGCAGCTGTACCAATTTTTTGTATGTATTCTCCTACAAAGTGTATGTACCATTTGTGAGGTGACTCAGGTTCCATTTGAATCAAGATTCCAGAGCATGCTGTTGAAGAACCATTTTACTCTCAAGTCAAATTATTATAGATATATAATATAAGCTTGAATTAATTTCAAACAGCTACAAAGCCTGTAGATACATCTCCAAGTTTGAAGCTTCGATTCATAGATTGTGTTATTATTCACTTTAATGTCTTAAGTCTGAAAGCAATCAATGATG